GAGGCATGGTGGGAGGCGACTCGCGATGACGAGTGGAAATACGATGTACTAAGACTGGGGATGGCAATCGGGGTTTTAGGATATTCACAGTGACGAATCGGCCTTTCTTGTCAGACAGCAGTGTGCACTACTACAGGTTGCTCTTGCTGGTTGGCTTGTACTAAGGAAGAGTATGATCCCTGTAAGGGAGTGTTTGTGGGGGATGGTCAGCTGACGGTGAACCAGATCAATCAGTATCTCTACGACGGGTACCCGCAGCCGCCGACACACGATGGAAGTGGCTCGTCAACGACGAATTCACAGGCCGATCCTCAGTTCCGGTTGCAGTATAGGATTTCGGGTTTCAATGATATGAACGCAGCGATAGCAGAGGCTAGTCGAATAAGGAAGTTGGCACCCGAGCTCGGCGTCTCTGTGCAGAACGCGTTCGGGTCCGCAGCAGAGGTTGCCTTAACTGAGGAGAATTCTATCGAAATGCTGGAAGTGGACAACCCTGTGTCCAAGGACCAGACTCGGAGCCTGTTGGGCATTTTTTCCTACGTTGGAATATTGCCATCCAGCTTTCAATCATGTGCGAGTAGTATGGCGAGTGGTACGTTCGGTAGTGATAAAAATACGCAAGTCGCGATACAAGAGCAGGCAGAGGACGTTAAGGTTTACACGGAGGTCCCTACTGGGATGGATAGCGAGAAATCTGCGAAACAGATGTGGAACCTAATTGACGGTGCTATGTTGACGAATTGTGCTAGCCGGGCCAGTATTAACAGCGGGGATATCCCGATGATGGAAGTACAGCAGGCGAGCGATCCGGGCAGTGCTCCTACGACTCATAAGAGCGCCTCTCTACCATGGTAATGAAGGAAGCTGGGGATCTTAGTTCGAAGCCTGTGTTTCTGGTAGGTATGCATGGTTGCTTATCGCTATTGGTATTGTCATCGTTATAGCAGCTTGTGTTTATGTTTGGTGGCTTCTGTCATCGAGACGGAAACAACGTGAGAAGCAAGCTAAGATGTCGGAGTCTTGTGAAGGAGCTGGTGAGGGTAGCAGTGAGAGAGGATTGATCTCTGGTGTTGCCCCTGCAACAGGGTATGTCGATGATGATGCCGCAACAGCAACTGTCACGGGAATAGGTGTAAGCAACTCGGCGCCAAGGCTCATTACCAGTTAGCATCTGTACTCGCTATAAAAATTGTATCGTTCCGAACGTTTAAGAATTGGCCGAATTGTGATGGGTTTCGGTTTTTAGAGCATATCAACCCATGCGAGACTGCCTTCATCTGCAACTCATCGAGCCTCGGTACTGGCTGAGGTTCCCACAGCAGTAGTGTCTGTGAATCCTGATGGTTCGCTGTAAGCATCATGAGGCGTATTCTGTCGTTATTAATTGCCTCTTCCTTCAGTACCCCTCGGTTACCTCTGGCGCCCAAGAATCCCGCACCCAAGTCCTCGATCTCTCTCATCGCGTCAACGCCCAACTCGCACCCTCATTGGGATACCACACGTTCTCATGAGGCCCCATACTGAACCATAGTTCATACCACTCCACCGTTACATTAAGATCATTCGCGCGCCATTCACAGCAACACGAGCTGCTAGGGCTGCCATTGCTGTAGTTTTCTTTGTGTAATTACTAACTCTTGACCTATATCCGCGACTGTATGTCATCGGTCTAATACTGTAGTCTAGCTTTGTGGACCACCCTCTCCGGTTCTATTGTACTGTAGCCGGTTGCATGCCCAACACAATGTCTCTATGCAGGCTCGAATTTTCCCGCTCCATTTGACTCCTTCCAAGGAGGTTTACTCGAAAGGCTCGAGGCTAATAGTGCATGCAAAAGGCACAAGATGTCGTCTCTTCGACTCTGCGAGTGGTAGTGTCATGGCAACCTAGGTTGGTTGAACTGTCCTCCAAGTCGCGGAGATCGTTCTGTCGGTTGTTGACACCTATCATTGCTCTATACATAGTTCTACAATGTTACTTCTCATAAGGAATCAATAACCCTTTTTCGCAATGATACTACCGCTCAATCATCCTCTGTCTCGGCTAAGAGCCATAGCGGTGGCCATTGGTGTACTTGTACTTTTCTTATGCAGGTTGTCGTCTTGCGTTCGTGAGAGTCTTGTAATCGCACATCATATCAAATAGCAACTCGGGAACTAACGCTTGGCCTGCGGCAATTCTTTTAAATTTAGATTTCTTAGAGCTCAGAGCCCGCGTGGAGGTGAGCCCTACCATCTCTGGATAGTCGTACAAATTTCGATTGACTGGCTATCAATTTTACTCATACTCGATCGATTACTTATTCAGCTCGGCGCTTGGCAATTTTCTGATCAGTCTGTCTCAACTATTCATCGGATGGCATACCTGCCCCGAGGAAACTCGGGTGGTATAGTTGCCCCTTTGAAACTCGGGTGGCATAGCTGCCCCGGGGAAACTCGGGTGGTATAGCTGCCCCGACGAAACTCGGGTGGCATAGCTGCCCCGAGGAAACTCGGGTGGTATAGTTGCCCCTTTGGAACTCGGGTGGCATAGCTGCCCCGAGGAAACTCGGGTGGTATAGCTGCCCCGACGAAACTCGGATGGCATAGCTGCCCCGAGGAAACTCGGGTGGTATAGTTGCCCCTTTGAAACTCGGGTGGCATAGCTGCCCCGACGAAACTCGGATGGCATAGCTGCCCCGAGGAAACTCGGGTGGTATAGTTGCCCCTTTGGAACTCGGGTGGCATAGCTGCCCCGAGGAAACTCGGGTGGTATAGTTGCCCCTTTGAAACTCGGGTGGCATAGCTGCCCCGAGGAAACTCGGGTGGTATAGTTGCCCCGACGAAACTCGGGTGGCATAGTTGCTCAGAGGAAACTCGGATGGAATAGCTGTCAGTTTTACGGTGTCCCGGGGACACTGTCCCCGCGGAAGTCAATGTCAGGCTCTCCTGGAGTCTGAAGTTTAGACTCTTACGGGAATCCATCAGCGTTATAGGGAGCCGGCAACGAGATACTATCGTGTGTATTGCCAAGGTCACCGTCACGAACAAGAATCTCTCAATTGATCAAGTGAAAATGATGTTTTCAGACGGCACATACTGCAGTGGTCCCTACAGAACATGAGTTACAAAGAACTATGATAGCCAATGCTCTGATCATATGAACTATTACAATTTCAAGAGCAATACGATTGTAAGAAAGTTCATCCTCCATATGTATGTATACAACAGCATCGACTCACTGGGCGCTTGACAATCGTAGCATAATTCCTCAGTCAAGAAAAGCTGAAGTCATCTGGATGAGTCAATCACCAGCTGCATGGTAGATAGTAGAAGCCCTTTTCTAGAGTGATGAAGTAATTACCCGTGACTTTCGTTCATGGACTCTCAGAAGTCAATAATGGCACCGTATATCCCGATTCCCATCACAACAAAGGCGACCATAGCCAAGACGAAGTGGAGGAGTATCTCCCATACAGGCCAGGGCAAGTGGTGCTGTCTCTTTGCCTTCATGAAGCAAGCTATGGGGAAGAGAGTTGTAACCTGCGTCGAACAAAAAGCACCTATGAGACTGACAATGCTGCTGACCCTGGGAATCACTATGGCGAGACCTCCTTCGAGGATCACAAGAGAAGTTCGACATATAAGCGCCGCAATTTTGCACCGACCAACAGACCACCCCTTCCTTTCACCGATGTGGGAACACATTGCGTCGATTTGTTTGGCTGTCGTGTGAATAAGACCAGATAGTGCGGCACCATGACTG